GTAATGGTGAAAGAAGGCTTCTGTGTCTGGTAGATCAAAGTCCAGCTACATCTGGTACAGGTCTGTAATTTGACATGGAAAAGATGAACTCTAGTCCCTTGCTAGTAAACATTGTTATCAGGCTGAAAGCAATGATATGTGTGATGTGTTTTGAGTTTCTTAAGGAATAATAAGATGTAATGCTTTAAAACACCCACTGATTACCTTCAGGTTTCTTCTGATTAAAGGCTATCAGTAAAACACATACAGGTAGCTTCTCAGAGTACATTATCTCTGAAATAGCTTCTGATTGGTTGGTTCAAGAAGGAGACCGAGTGGTGACTGGGGGCAGGGCAGCTTAGACTGTGAGTCTAATCCTACCTCCAGTGAGCCTGGCACTGCGACCCTGTGTAATTTCACTCGTTTTTAATTAAGAACAGTGGCTGTTTTATTTCATGAGCATATTATGCAAATCCAAGGTGAACTGGCATGAAATATGAGAACAATATTTTGAAAACCTTGTTATTTCTAAGATAAGGTTAATTCCAGTGCTCAGAATATTAGTGTGTTTTGGTGCACATTTGTGATCTTACACCCTTTAATGAAGTCACGAGCCTAAAGATCTGATAAGGTAAAAAGTTGAGAGTGCAACAAAAATGTTTTGGAGTAAATTAATTTTCTAATAGGACATCAGAGTTTTGTTTCTCATCAATATTAGCTAAGTAATATTCCTTAGTATTTATGAACCAAAGAATATGAGTGACTGGAATGATCAGATACAAGGAGACAAGAATGCTCATTTTCTAAATTCAAATTAAATTCAAATTTAAATTCAAATTAAAATATACCTTATGTTTATATGATACGTTGTGTTTATTGTTCATATCTATCCTTCCTAACTTCATTGATTACCCAAGTTTTTATTTAGTTTTCTTAAGATTGCTGTTATAGTTTATTTTGTTTGTATCATATTAGTTGTTTACTTGAATATTCCATTTATTTACATCTTATATACTTAAGAATTCTAGTCTAAGATAGGTACCTAAAAAGAGAAATGTGCTCAGTTCTAACCTCTGTACATTACAGTGAACTGTGGTTAGAGCCTCAACTCAAGCTGTGGGGATTCACTTCTGCTTTCCCCCTCTTCATTACATTTCTATGTACTTATCCATTATCTCTATACAAGCATCACAGAGCTGACACTATACAAGCTGTTAGCTTCATATCCTCTTTCATGGATCATGAGTCCTTTTGTCTGATTTAATCTTTCCTCACCACCTGATATTAGCCTTTCTATGTCTTCATATTAAAGGATGAATTATACCCACACTTACAGGTGTTATATTTTAGGCTATGTATGAGGCAGAACATCCATTTTTTTCTTTCTGAATTTGGTGACTTTATTTAATATTATACATTCTGAGTCCATCCATTTTCTTGCAAGTTTTGTGACTTCATTTTTTCTTTAGACCTGAATAATAATCAGTTTTATTTTTATGTGACATTTATTTTAATTGAAATAGAGTTCTGTTACTTTATCCCTTCCCTCCCCCCAGCTCCTCATAGCTACCCACCCTGGAGTCCCTCCTATGCCTTCCCCATGCTCTCACATTGAAAGACTAATTTTCTTTGTTATTTTTACAAACTCTTTATTATCCATTCATCTGTCGATAGATGTCTGCTTGTAATGTTTCCTTGCTATAGTAAATAGAGCAGTAAATAGAGATGTGCAGATATCTCTATGGAAGAAAATAGTTCTCTGGGCATACTCCCAGGAGTAGAATAAGTAGGTCATATGGCAGGTCTATTTTTAGCTTTTTGGGGAACTTCCAAACTGATACCCATAATGGCTTATTAATTTGTACTCCAACCAGCAGTGAGTAGGATTTCTTTCCCCTGTATCCTCTTCCAACACTTTTTGTAAGAGTTCTTGATGATAGCATCATGACTGCAGTGAGATGATATCTCAAAATAGTTTTGATTTGGATTTCCCTGATGACTATAGATGTTGAGTACTTTAAAAATAGTTTTTGGCCTTTTGTGGTTCTTTAAAAATTATTCATTTCATTAGCCCATTTGTTGACTGGCAGTTTTAGTTCCATGGTATTTAATTTCTGCAGGTTTTTATTTTTATTTTTATTTATTCATTTTTAAGTTAGAATGTTAACCCCAACCTGGAATGTAGCTGAAAGATTTTTCCCCCTTTCTATGGACTATTTTCTCTATTGATAGTTTTCTTTTGATACTTGGGGCTCATTCTGTGCTTATAAGGTCCTATTCACAAACTTCTTGCCTACCCCAGTGTCTTAAAAAGTATTTCCCATGTTTTCTTCTAGAAGTTTTAGCACTTTTGGTTTTAAATTGAGTCTTGAAACTTTTCTTGATCTGGTTCCTGCTTATTCATTTAGTCTCATCTCTCAGTATTACCTCTTACAACTTTTGTTTTTGCCCTCCCAATATATAAGAACTTCCTTAAGTGTGTCATACTTAGTCTTTCTCCTATATTGGTTTATAATTACCAGCACTGAGAGACTTTCCCTCTAAGCCAGACCAGAATTATAAACCCTTCCCATTAAAATACAAAGAAACCTGACTTTGTTCTCCAGTGTGATGCCAAACAATGGCCTGTATATTTTCAGTCTGAGTGATGTACACCTTAAATCATCTAGCACTCCAGCACCATAAATGTCTGTATTCTGAGCATATTGCAAAGAGAGTACCTGGTCAGGAAGCTGAGCATCTTCTAGGAGACTGCAGGGAAAGAGCATGAATGTTTAGCCTCTTCCCCCTAGCTAAAAAACCACAAGGACAGTATGTCCCAGGTGCTGTTCATCTCTACTCAAGCCTTACTGCAGAGTCCAACTATACTTAGTTCTTTCAGCTCTGAAAAGAGAAGGCTCCTCTTTCCTCTATTTTTCATGAATGCAGCTTTAACTACAACAGAAGGATTGAAAGCGTTTGTTTAGAATTCTGCCTTTTCGGAGATTTGGAAAAGTCATGTTTTACCTTTTCACTTCTGGGAGGAATCACAGGTTTTTGCTGCAATTTGCTTAGAAACAGCTTCATGGTCCATTGATGTGGCAGTGGAGGAGAATGAATGATTGGATGGTGAAGTCTGAGAATTGTCCTCAGCAGAGGCCTCTCACAAGGATGTGGTCCTCTGTCTAAATTAAGGTTACAGTTACTCAGCTTATTCCAGGAGCTTCCTTTTGAAGTCTAGCAGGACACTTATAATGCTTTTTGCAGCAATCACCTCTCCTCGTGTGCACTGAGAGGTCCCTTCTTTCTGGGTGTTATAGAAGGTTGGGGGAGATGCTGAGAGGGAAACAACTGGGCAGCCTTCCCTCCCCTCAGCATACTGGGTTAAAGCTCACCCTCCGAGGTCCCCACAGTCTGATGTCCACTCATCTCCAAGAGCAGGCTCTGCTCTGACCACCTGCTGACTTGTGTCCCCATGGGAGGAAGCTCCTCAAGGTTGGGGTCCTGTTGCAGGCTGCTCCCTTGTTATAACTATATTCTCTTCCCTGGTTGTATGTATGATATCCACGAAGGTATTTTACACTGTTCTGATTATTAAGTTTAATTTTGTTTAGTATAAACCTAAACATGTAAATATTTTGGTGTGATGTATCACTAGCTGTTTTGGTATAGGTGACAATGATGCTTTCTGTGAGAATGTTCCTCAGGGTAAAAGCAAACAGTCAACAGTTACCACCATTTCTGTACTCACTGTCTTAAGTGATTTCCCAGTTTAATCCTCTCAAAAACCTTTTTAGGTAGGTAGTTACTAGCTCGTTTTATAGATGAGAAAACAGAGGCAAATAAGATTCTTAACTATTCCCTGGATCACATTGCTAATGTTTGTGCTTCATTCTGCTTAAAAGGAATGCAATTTAAATATTCTGTCAGGAAGTGCTCTGGTGTGGTGATATCAATCAGGATTCAGACATGCTAATTAAAAACATACTAAATATATCAACAGAAAGAATGCAACACAGGCAAATAACTAAACTGTTTACTTAAAAAAGCATAGAAGGCCATTGAAATGATATATTTACATAGAATCATTCATCTCATAAGCAGTCATCAGGGCTGAAAGACCAAAGAGGTTGTGCTTTCAAAACCATGGGATTTGCATAGCTGAATTTTTGATCTCCGAGGAAAGAGTGAGCTTCCTGGTTTCAGTTACTTCAGGAGCTCAGGGTATCTTTATGACACTGTACTAACGCTCTTGGAGGAAAGGTTTCATTCAGTTGTGTTTGTGCATCTTAGGAAGAAACCAGCCTGCTTATACTAGAAACAGGTGGAGTGGACTAGCTGTTAGCGTCACTAATTGCTGCTGGTGGAGCAACCCCGATGTTAGCAACTCTTTCCCTTTCTTCCTACTTTCATTGTCCTCCCAGAACTTGTCTGTGTTTATGAGAACTTAACAGGAAGGCAGTTAATGAATGACTAAGATAGGAAACACATTCTTAGTGTAAGTTTATTTATTTATGGTGTGTGTGTATGTATGTATGCATGTATGTATGTATGTATGTATGTATGTATGTATTTATGTATTTATGTATGTATGTATGCACACCAACCTATCCTGTGTGGAGAATGCATGTGCCTGGCATGCATCTAGAGGGAGAAGGCTGCCTCTGCAGTTCCCTTCAACTCCCTTTAGGCAGGTGCCTAGAAATAAACTTAGGTCACCAGATTTGCACAGAAAATGCTTTTAATGGCTGAGCCATTTCTCTGGTCATGAACCAATGGAGCATCAAGACACAAATGTTTATCACTGAAGCCATGAGAAGCAAATTCAAGACAATTATGGTGGCATCTTCTCACACACCAAATTAGTCTCCTAATCACTATGTAAAAGGAGTACTTGGAAATCCTGAACAAAGAATAACACGAAAATGATAAAGAATTTAAAATCACCTTAGCATTTTAAGTGAGAAAAACATTGCTTGGTAATATGTGTGGGGAAAAGTATTACAAGGAAAATATTTAATATTTTTTTAAATTTGTTTTAGATAAGATGGGAAAAAAACATCACATTGGGGGAGCCGCCAGGATTCTTACATTCTTGGTGGTGGTAAGTATCTTTTCATTTCATTTTTACTTGATTGATAACTGCATTCCAGTAAGCTCTTTATGACCTACTACTTCTGTTTTGTTTTTCATTGTCTGAAATTGTCACCTAAAAGGTAGCATTTCAAAACAAAAACAAAACCTCAAGACCAACATTCCTGTATTGACTTAAAGATATTACTATTGAATCAGAATGGAATTGGAGGTGGTTTGTGGACCAAGTATGCTCGTTTTCCTCCTATGGAGAGCTGCTGTAAAAGATACCATAGGGTGAAGCTCATTTTCTCATGGTTCTAGAGGACAGTAGTCCAAGATCATTGTGCCATAGTGGTTGGTTTCTAATGAGGGCTGTCCTGATGGCTCATAGACAGCATTTCCTTCCATGGTGGTGGGAGGGAAGGAAGGCAAGATATCTGTGTCTATTCTTATAAGGGAACTAATCTCATCACGAGGGTCTTACCCTTATGATGTCAGTTAAATGTAATTATTTTTCCAAAGACTCCATCTCAAAATACCATCACACAGGGAGTCAGGACTTCAATATCTGAATTCATTCCATAGCAGTTTCCTTTCTGTGTCACTGTGGCAGATGAGAACGACACTTTTCCTTGGCTCTTAGCTTACTAACTAGATATAAGATTGCTTTCTGTAAAGAGGGCTGCCAGTTGTCATGAGACTAAATTAGTAAACACGTGTTGGTATGCTAGCCCCCATTTTGTTCTTTGAAGTTCACTTCTCTTGGGATCATTGTGGGCAGGAGGTAGTGATTTGATTGGCATACTCAGCACTCGGCTAGTCATATCTTAAAATAACAGTCAACTCCTCTAACAAAGAATCCATGAACATGAATGGGATAAATCACAAATAATCAAGTACTGAAATAAATTTGTCTTTTTTTTTTTTGAGATGGAAGAGCATATCCATAAGAACATGTTTCTTGATACAGTGATCATTAGGTATTGAACTGTTCAAAGGGATTTAAAAAAATTATCTTGAGGAAATGCCTTGTATTACTATTTTGTATTTCTGCCATGTAGTGGAAGCAATTTTTAGAAAAGTTTAATTTACTCATGAGGCTTTGAGCAAACATCTCTTTGCAAACCTAGTAAAATGTGTTTGTTGCATATTGTCAACAAGCTCAATAAATGACTTGTATTTATTGAGTGCCAGGCAGTATATTTGATACCATGGACACAACAGTAAATAAAACATAATATTGCTCCTTTCTTATTGATTTCAGTCTTTGGAAAAAGTACATAGTTCAATAGGCAACAAGAAATAAGTGTCTTATGGGGAATATGCAGATTACTGTATAGACATATACTATATGCATCAACTAGAGGAGTTGTTATTTAAGCTAAGGTCTTAAGTATATATAAAGAGATAACCAAAGGGATGTGGAGAGATAGAAAAGGTACATGTTTTAATAAATTATAATATTGAAAGGATCTAGAGGTCAAGGGAAGAGAAGGATTAGTTTACAGGAAGAGTTGAAGGAAGTTCAGCATATTGGAAATTGACATGATAGTGTGATTGGGGACTGGGGAGTTTGGATATTATCATAAAGACAACAGAGAAGATAAGTCTTGTAAGTAGGAGAGTAATCATGTTAGGAGTATATTCTTACATGCATCTTAGTAGTGTTACTCTCATTCTGTAGAGACTGGATGGGGCTAGAGTAAGTCCCAAGCAGCAAAGCACTGAGAGATAGACTGCAGGGAACAGTTAAGAATGGTTGTGTGAGACAAGGCATATGATAGGGAGCACGTAAAGTGAGGATGTGGCCAGTGAATTACCTGCAGGGTTTGCTGCCAAGCAAAGTTTCTTAAGCATGTGGATGCAGACATGATTGCAAGGGGACAGGTTGAACAAGGAACTTGTAGGGTCTGGTGTTTGAAGGAGAGGAAGATGAGTAAATGATGTTCCTTGTGAATAAAGAGAAAAGTGCTAAGGGGCTGGAGAGATGGCTCAGTGGTTAAGAGCACTGACTGTTCTTCCAGAGGACCTGGGTTCAATCTGCAGCACCTTCATGGAAGCTAACAGTTGCTTGTAACTCCTGCTTCAAGAGGAACTGATATGTTCTACATGCTGGAAAACACCAATACAGATAAAATGAAAAGAAGTCTGAAAAGTTTTTTTTCCGCACAGCATTCCTTCCTTCCTTCCTTCCTTCCTTCCTTCCTTCCTTCCTTTCTTTCTTTCTTTCTTTCTTTCTTTCTTTCTTTCTTTCTTCCGGTAGCACACACCTTTATTCCCAGCATTTGGGAGGCAGAGGCAGAGGCAGGCAGATCTCTGTGAGTTTGAGGCCAGTCTGGCCTACAGAGTGAATTACAGAACAGTCAGGGCTATTGCTAAGAGAAACCCTGTCTTGAAGAAAAAAATAAGAAGAGAGAGAGAGTTACAGGGGAGGTGCTCATTGTACAGAACACTTACATCATTAGTTAACATTTAAGGACAAAGAGGAAGGGGATGCTATGAAAAAGATAAAGTCCCTAAAAAGGTAGAAGGAAAACCAGTAAGGTTTGTGACAGAAAAGCCAAAATTAGGAAGGGTGTTTTAGAAATAAAAAGACAGCTTGCCGGATCGTTTGTGCTGGACAGGTAGAGTAGTAAGAGTGAATGTGTCCTCTTAGGAGTCAATGACTGACTCATGAAGATAAGTGATTAGTACTGGATTGAGACGTGACTGAGAGGTTGAGACGTGGCAAATGGTAGATATAGTGAGTCTGTTCCAAAGCTTCAGCTATGCTGAGAGGAATGGGCAACACTTGGAAGAGTATGGCCGTCCCACTGGAGAGTGTTTCGGTGCACATGGAGAGGTGTTAGTAGTTCTGGGGCTTCCATAGAGAAGTGGTGGAGAAGCAGAGGTCCATACTACAAAGGGGGTAATGAGAGGTGGAGGTCAGAGAAGAGTGTGTAATTGCACACGTATTAAAGGAAAGTTAAGTCCGTCTTGGCTGCTAGGGCACTAGAGGGGGAGCAAGGATGTTGGTAGATTTATGGTAAGACATTCAGTTCTTATTCTCATGGCTTGTTTTCTCTGCAAGTATGATATGAGACCTCTGACAAGGGTGCTGAGGGGAGAGATTGTGGTAGTATATTTAGAAGGAGAATCATTTGAAGTATTTATATATAGACCAAAGGGGATTAGCAAAGAAGAAGAGAAGGAGGGAGGGAGGGAGGGGGAGGAGAAATGAGTAAGAGATTAGAAACACACTAAAACCTTGCTAGAAACTAAGGCCCGCTAATACTGGTATGGGTAAAGTCATCATGGCACAGATAGCAGCTTTTCTGCAGCAGCAGCAATTGGTAGAACAGACATTGGATAAACTAGGCTAGCTGGGTCTTAATGTCTCTGTCTCTGCATCTCTATCAGAAGCATTACCTGTTGCCTTGGCCACTCATTTTCAACATCTTCTTTAAAGGAGGGAAACAGAAGGCCTCTTTTATGCCATGCATATTGTTTCCTTTAAATATTATTTAACCATCATGTTTTTAGCCTCTTCATGGAAGCATGTCTCACTTGAAGTTCTGTGCTACTGAACCACATTTGGTCAGTTGTGGTTGTGGGTTTCCCGTTTGTCTCTCCCACAGCAGAAACAGGTGCAGGCCTTTGTTTGAACATTGTTCCTGTAATTGGACTAACCGTTCACTACAGTTGAGCACGGTCATTGTGCTGTTTACTGAGGTTTAAGACTGGTCTATTGTATAATGTTAAAAAATCAAAATTGTATTGACAATGTATGGACTTAAGCTATTTAGATCTAAGCGTCCTTTTTCTAGTAGTGCGGTTGAGCTCAGGGTCTTGTGCATGCCGGGCAAATGTTCCACCACTGAGCTGTATCTTCAGACCTAAATTCTTAGCTGCCTTCTTCTAGATGTCATCAAGCCTTCTCACCATGACATCTTCATAGATGTGCTTCTGCTTATGACTGTAAAGTAGCATGAAAGTCATCAGAGACATCTGTTCACGTTGGACAAGTGGATAAGTGGATTAGAAGAGGAGGATTTCTAGTTACTCTCTTATTTTATTTCTTATGCCTATTTCATTTCACACTTCTTCAGTAAGTTAACCTAAATCTATAGCATGGTGGTCGATAATATCTTCCTGCATGCTTTGACTTTTTTTTTTTTTTTTTTGGTAGTAAACTTCAGCTTTTTACACCAGCTATCAGAAGGCCGACCTCTTAAACCAGCCATTTTTTCTTTTTCTTATTTTCCTGTGACTCAGAGATTCAGAAGAATACCTTGGCTTTGAACTTTTAAGTAACTTAATTTGGAGATATCAATTTAATAATAATTGACAAATAAACATTTTAGACTAATTTTGTATTCAATATTTTAATTTTGTTTTAGGTTTTTCCCCATAAAACTATCAGCATGTTCTTTCCAGCATTTGCTTCATATGTGTGAGTCATGGATGCTTAACAATTTTGAAGTCAAGGAGGTCTTCTGAGAACTGACAGAAAGCTATGGATCTACACTTCCAGAAAATGCCAGATTCATAAGCCTTCCTGATCCTTGTGTAAAGTGAAATTTTACTGAACACCATATTCAAATCCTGCAGATGTATGGCCCTCTGCTCTTAAGAATTTAGAGCTGGGCTTTATATCTGTGGTCTGATGAAGGAAGCAGGCCTAGATTTGTGTTATCTTTGATAGGAACCCTGCTGGTGTTGTGAGTCGAGAGTATTTGAGTACAGTTCAGCTCACTTATGTAGCCCAAATAAGACTAACCAGTGGAAGACTTGTAATTTTATAACTTCCTGCCATTTTTTTTAAAAAAAGATTTGACATTAGAATTGTCTTTTTGTTTCAGCCTGTTTACCAACTACTAATGAAAGTCAGTAGTGGGCTAGATAAACGAGTCAAGATATAAGTGTGTGTGTGTGTGTGTGTGTGTGTGTGTGTGTGTGTGTGTACAATAGAAGTACAAGAGCAGCACTCACAATAGTGGGAAGAGAAAGAAAGGCCATTTCAGAGGAAGTAAATCGAAGCTGAACTGA